GCTAAATATGATATAGCTTCAGAGCTTGGTCCTGTTAAGTCCTACTCCCAGGATATCCCATCTAAGTAAAGATTACTGGCATGAGTAAAGAGTATAGGGGAGGGGTTGCTTAATTTTATGCCATCTTCATAGAATCACAGCAATTTAGGGTTGGAAGGTACCTGAGGAGGACATCTAGTCCAACCCCCTGCTCAAAGCAGGACTGTCCTTAACTAGATCACCCCCACCTTCAGGTAGTTGAAGGCAGTTATTAAATCCCCTCTCAGTCTCCTCTTTTCTAGACTAAATAAGCCCAGTTCCCTCAGTCTTTCCTCATAAGTCATGTCTGCCAGCCCTCTCACCATTTTTGTTGCCCTCCGCTGGACTCTGTCCAATTTGTCCACATCCTTTCTGTAGTGGGAGGCCCAAAACTGAACACAGGACTCCAGATGTGGGCACACCAGTGTTGAATAGAGGGGAATAATCACTTTCCTTGACCTACTGGCAACACTCCTACCAGTGCAGACCAGAATGCCATTAGCCTTCTTGGCAACAAGAGCACACTACCGGCTCATATTTAGCTTATTGTTCACTGTAACCCCCAGGTCCTTTTCTGCAGAGCTGCTGCCCAGCCAGTCAGCCCCCAGCCTGTACTGGTGTATGGGATTGTTCCGTCCTAAGTGCAGGACTTAGCACTTGTCCTTGTTGAACCTCATGAAATTGCTTTTGGCTCAGTCCTTCAATTTGTCTATGTCACACTGAATCCTAGCCCTACTTTCCAGCATATCTAGTATTCCCCACAGCTTGGTGTCACCTGCAAACTTGCTGAGGGTGCGTTCCATCCCATCTTCCAGGTCGTTGAAGACATTGAACAAAACTGGCCCTAGGACCGACCCCTGAGACACTCTACTTGATACTGGCTGCCAACTAGACATTGAGCCATTGATTACTACTCTCTGAGCCAGTTTTCTACCCACCTTACAGTCCATTCATCCAGTCCGTACTTCCTTAGCTTGCTTATGAGAATGCTGTGGGAATAGTATCAAAAGCCTTGCTAAAATCAAGGTACACTGCAACCACCGGTCTCCCTGCATCCACAGAGCCAGTCACTTTGTTATAGAAGGCAGTCAGGTTGGTCAGGCATGACTTGATCCTGGTGGAGCCATGCTGACTGTTCCTAATCACCTTTTTCACCTCCAAGCATTGGCGACCCATAGGAGGTGCACGTGGGTGTACCTCCTGAGATCAGCTGTGCGCCCCATGGAAGTGCCAGCTGCGAAACTGGTTGGCGATCGGCTGCTGGGGGACCCCCTCCCACTCCCCCTGGTTGGCGATCTGGTGCTCCCCCAGAGTTGGGAGGCACCAATCGCCCATGCCTCCAAGTGCTTACAAATGGATTCCTTGAGCATCTGCTCATGATTTTTTCCAGGGATTAAGGTGAGGCTGACCGGTCTGTAGTTCCCTGGATCGTCCTTCCCTTTATTAAATATGGGACTAAGGTGGGGCTGACCGGTCTGTAGTTCCCTGGATTGTCCTTCTTCCCTTTATTAAATATGGGCACTGTTTGCCCTTTTTCAATCATCTGGGACATCTCCTGATCACCATGAGTTTTCAAAGATGTTTCACTAGTTCCTACAATAAAATACTAATGGGTTAAATCTGATATAAGCATTAAGCGGGGGAAAATGTGTTTTTAGCAGAGATTTGAAATGAACGGGGGTAATGAAAGTGGGAGACGTAGGGTCCCAGTTCTCTCTTCTGTCCAAGCTATGCTTTGTGTGGTAGCAAGACTGATGGGGAGACAAAGCCATCTTTATGCTGCCTCTTTGGACCAGGTCTGCGGCTCAAGTTACAACAGCTCAGGGCTACTCTAATTTTTATGCATCTGCCCACAGCTCCTATGGGACCATTTTAGCAGCTGGCAATAGTTCTTGACTTGCCCCATTTCTTTTGGCCCCAATTCTGGGAGGAGACCAGGGTAAAATTATTAGCTTTCTCCCCTTTCCCCACCACTTAGGAAATTACCAGTCTACAAAAGGTATTTTTTAGTGGGCAGATCTACCTGGTTTGTCCAGTGGCATCCAGAGCCATGATGCCAAGAAAACTGGGTTCAAAGTGATTGTTCTTCATGGGAAAAGGTGGGAAGGGTGATGGGTCTAGCCCAGCTTAGCAAAACCAAAGAAATGAAGACTATTTTGAACTGTATCTTGTAATATGTGTTGATGAAGATATGTTGCCATGTTATTCTGTAGACCGGAGAAGGCAGAATGTAACCCATTCTTCCACCTCCTCTAAGTCTGAAGCAGTGGTGGTCCACTGCATGAATGCATCTCGTCCTTATGGACAGTTAAACTAAAATTCCAAGATGCTCAGGCTGAGGATATGCCCATGCTCGCATTGCTAGATGGGATGAGTATCCTGATCAGATGGGAAGCAAATCCTTGATGTGAAAAAAGTTAAGAGCCCCTCACCAGTTGGTGTGGGTTTATGATTCCACCCGTCTAATCTTTCATGTTTTACAGCAATGCTCATTTGCCTTGTACTATTATTGCATGCTACAAATGCTGTGCGAGAGCATTCAAATGCAAATAAAAATGATTCCCATTTGCTTTGGATTTAATCATCACAAAAGCACTTCAATAAACATTAGATTTTGTGAAAACCTTTTTTATTGCCGAGCCTCCTTTTTGGGGCTGAACAGCCTCACAGCATCCCTTTAAATTCTGTCTGCCTGCTGCAGTTCTTGATAATGGTCTGGAGGGTAATAAAACATCATATTTCTTGCTCTTTTTTTTGTAATCAGTCCATTAAACATGCCTGTAATTCATGTTTTGAAGCTATTTCTTTGTTTAACCTCTTCGGCTAGGTTACTGTATGTGCGCGTGTGTGTATGTAGCTTTGGGTGTTTCCTGCTTTTTGCTAAGTAAACCAAGATGAAAAATACTAAATTACCTGTGTTTGTGTACAGAGAGGCACAGCAAATGTTGAAACATTGACTAAAGATGTATGGAGTTAAGAGCAACTGGGGTTTATACTTGTGTAGCCCTTAGTATGTGTCGAGGAATCTCAGAGTGCCTATAGGACTGTGCTAGCAATGCTGTGGGTTTATAAGCTGGTCCAGAACAGAGAACTTTGTTCATTTCTCGAAGTGAGCATTTTTAAGAAGTTCTGAGATGCTTTGTTAGTCGGGGGGGAAGGTTTCATTTCTTTTAGGTTTTTTTTCTTTGTTTTTTTCATTTTTTAGCTTCTAGCTTGGACCAGAACTAGAAATACTGAAATAATCCTTTTCTCATATAGTTTCCAGACCAAGTTTGTACATTAGTGAGGTCTGAAGAAACTTTCAGGGATGCCTCTGATATTAAGGGGTTACTTGTCTGTGCTAAACTCAACTCTAGACCATTGTTGTCTCATTTATTTTCTGTTCACCTTGTAGTAGTGTTTAGAACGTGTTAGCTGCTTTCCAAACACAAAGGAGGAAACAATCTCTGCTATGAGTTATGCTTTTTAGGCTATTGCTAATTGGACTTGTCCATTCCATTCACAGCAAACCTGTTTGGCAATTTAACTCAGCTTACATTTTGACCATCAAAAAATGGAAAGATCACTTTTCCTTTCTAAAAGTTGTTGTTTGGTCTTTAACAGTTCCTGAGCATGTATCTTATTTTAATGGGGAAGCAGGGGCACAGGAAGCAAAACGATGTCAGTAGGGTTGACAGAAGAGAGAACTTTCATTGTTACATACAATTTCTCTGAGAATTATGCCCCAATTTTAAGTGCTCAGAGTGTGCTCCACGAAGTCAGTATTTTCCTAAGCCCCTGAATAAGATGATTATCCTTAAAAGTCCAAGGAATGAGTTATCTTTGCTTTAGTCCAGTATTTGATCATACAGATGAGAATAACAATCGCCTTGCCTACCTACTGTATTTTGTTATGGAAGGATTTTGCCCCCAAGGTACTCACCCCACAATGCCCAAGAAAATAGGTTATCTGTAAGGATTAGCAGTGATGGGATTGTTTCCCAGGGCTGTAGGGCACCTACTTAGTCACTTGTGTTGTTACAGTTCAGGGGCTATGGTGGCTTCTACTCTACTTCACTAAATGGGCTTGGGAGGTAGAGCAGGATGATAAAATTTCAGCCACACAAGGGATGCAGTACAATGCAATTATTTCCAAAGATACAAAATGGCAACTGTACAGTACCCAGTGCAAAAGTTTAGGACAGACACGGATAGCTGCTGTTTTCCAGATTTAAAACTACAGGAAATTAAGGTATAGAGAGAGGGCCAAATTCTTCCCAAGATGGGATTTGATCTGAAAAATAGGGCTTAACATACTGCCTAATGGTCCTTCAGCTGCTCAGCTGGTTAGAAAATTGCAAATATATGCTCACTTGAAAGGCAGCAGAAGCAAAAAGAGACTGACTGGGGACACTGGGTAAGAGGTTAGTCAGTGGGAAAGTCATCTTGGTGTGTTCTCCTTATCCCTGAGGAAGACTTCCAAGGGTGAAAAGTAGGTGTCTCCATATGGGCCTGACTGATCAACAAATAAAGATACTTGATGGCTGTTGTATGGAGAGATGGTACACAGAGGTGTGGTGTCCCAGGTGAGTAGGATCACCAGTGCCCTATCAGTGGAAAGTGCTTTCTATGGCCAGGACTTTAAAAAAACAAAACAAAACAAAAAAACCCTTGTAATTTGGGGTGCCTCAGTGTTTTGCATGCACAAGAGAAAGAGAGACTGTAAAGGGACTTGATTTTCAGAGGATAGATACTAGCACTTCTTGAAAATCAGAGCTTTAAAAGTGTGTGCAGGTGGCCACCAGTAAAGTCACTAGATGTTTATTGAAAATCATGGCCCTTGTGTTTTATAATACAGTCACTACACTTCCATTGAGCGCTAGTGCAGGGGCATGAAATAAGAGGAACTAAATTCTTTTTATACCAGAACGACTGAGGATTAGTTTTCGTTGAGTCATTTAGTAGCACATTCATATTCCTTTTTCTTTTTTTCTCTATTATAGTTATGGAAAATGCCAGTGTAAAGTTGGTGTAACCGGCTTCAAGTGTGACCAGTGCCACGATGGATACTACAGGTTTAACAAAACCACTTGTGCACCCTGCCAGTGCAATGACCATTCCAAGAGCTGTGATGGCTTAACAGGTAAATTCCTTTTGCACACTTGGGGCCAGACTTAATGTTGGTGAGACTCTGCTGATGTTCATAGATTCATAGATGCTGGGGTCGGAAGGGACCTCAATAGATCATCGAGTCCGACCCCCTGCATAGGCAGGAAAGTGTGCTGGGTTTGGATGACCCCAGCTAGATGCCTATCTAACCTCCTTTTGAAGACCCCCAGGGTAGGGGAGAGCACCACCTCCCTTGGGAGCCCGTTCCAGACTTTGGCCACTCTAACTGTGAAGAAGTTCTTCCTAATGTCTAGTCTAAATCTGCTGTCTGCTAGCTTATAGCCATTATTTGTTGTAACCCCCAGGGGCACCTTGGTGAATAAAACCTCACCAATTCCCTTCTGTGCCCCCATGATGAACTTATAGGCAGCCACAAGGTCGCCTCTCAACCTTCTCTTGCGGAGGCTGAAGAGGTCCAGGTGCCCTAGTCTCTCCTCATAGGGCTTGGCCTGCAAGCCCTTAACCATACGAGTGGCCCTTCTCTGGACCGTCTCCAGGTTATCCACATCCCTCTTGAAGTGTGGTGCCCAAAATTGCACGCAGTATTCCAACTGCGGTCTGACCAGTGCCCGATAGAGGGGAATTATCACCTCCTTGGTTCTGTTCGTCATGCATCTGCTGATGCACGATAAAGTGCCATTAGCTTTTCTGATGACTTCGTCACACTGCCGACTCATGTTCATCTTGGAGTCCACTAGGACTCCCAAGATCCCTTTCCGCTTCCATGCCACCAAGCGGTAATTTCCTAGGCAGTAGGTATGCTGGACACTTTTCCTCCCTAGGTGCAGCACTTTGCATTTCTCCTTGTTGAATTGCATTCTGTTGTTTTCTGCCCACTTGTCTAACCTGTCCAGGTCTGCTTGTAGTTGTTCCCTGCCCTCTGGCGTGTCCACTTCTCCCCACAGTTTTGTGTCATCCACAAACTTGGACAGAGTACACTTCACTCCCTCGTCCAAGTCGCCGATGAAGACATTGAAGAGTATCGGTCCAAGGACCGAGCCCTGTGGGACCCCACTGCCCAAACCCTTCCAAGTTAATACCGACCCATCCACTACGACTCTCTGGGTACGACCCTCTAGTCAATTCGCCACCCACCGGACTGTGTAGTCATCCAAGTCACAGCCTCTTAACTTATTTGCCAGTATGGTGTGATGTTGGCTAGACTGCAGTGATGGTGTAAGTTGTGCTTTTGGACTGGAGACTTGTCATCTGTCTTTGGTTTCTGCTTGTTTAATTCATTATTCCTCCAGCCTCAGCTCCTTTATTTAGATCTTTAATTGAATTACGTAGGATTTGATTTGATCCTCTTCCCATTGATGTCAATGAGAGCTTTGCCATTCACAGTAATGGCAGCAGCCCTCGGCTATTATTGTTATGCCCAGGTGTCCCCATTGGGAATCAATGTGCCTTCTGTTCTACATACTGTGCAAACACAACAAAAACATAATGCCTGTCTTGAAGAGCTCACTCTTTTACTTTGTTTATCCAGAAACATGTTTAGTACAAGTGTTTTGCTGCTTGCTGTGGATGGCCAGGATTGCCATAAATAACATGATAAGAGCTGGGGATAGGAGGGGCAGGGGGAAATCGCTCTGTACTCATTTCCACCTATTATTGAATTTGCCTTATGTCTCGTGTGTTCACTTTCATTGAACATTCACGCAACTATATTTCACATGCATAGATTTTCACATAGGACAGATCTGAATGTGCATAGAAAAAAAAATTCCAGAAAAAAATTTCATACCAGAAATTCACATTGAAACAATATAACTCGTATGACCAATCTCAACTAAGTGACAGACCTGCAAGCTTCGAATTCAAACTTTCAATGATGAACTATAGAGTAAAATAAAATTTAACTGACTTTTGTGTAGGAGCTTAGAAACTGACAGTAAGTCCAAGGGGTTTGCAGCTTGCTGGTGAATGTTAAAGGGCAGAATTGATCAAATAAATTATTTGTTAGCCATTATCTTCTCTACCCTCATATTTATTACTGTATTGTCTGCATAGTTGTGGCAAAGAAGCAGGGTCAGTATTGATAAATCATAAAATTAATTCAAACCAGGTAACACCATTGTGGCATTTGACAGGAACAAAATTAATGGAAAACAGCAAGGGTAACAGCAGATATTAAAATTTAATTCTGTTTTGGTCTGACTCTGAGGAGCATTTACTCATATATTTAACCTTAACTTTCATTTAACTCACAAGATATGTTTGAAGTTAAGCATGCACTTAAGTATTTTCTGTAATTCCAGGCTGTATATATGAGCTTTCTGAGAGAGCACTATTGGCTGTAAGATTGCATACAAAAAAACTGGAGGGGAGGAGGATAAGGGGGTTAGACAAGTCCTTGACCTTGCTGTTGGGTCCAGTTCTGCAGAAGTGTCAAAGGTCTGTCTGTACAGATCATATTGCAGAATTGCAGCCAGGCTGTGTTATTGCTAACATGCCCTGTTGTGGAATACTAGAAAATGCATTTTCTTTTCCTTGCCTCTGCGTATTAGTTGAAGCAGAATGAACCACAGACAGTAAACTAGACCTGATTTCTATCAAGTAATATATGCTGATAACTCTTGGTATAAACTAGTGCCTGCACTTTTCTTGACCTCTCTGACTTATATTAAAAAAAATGTATTCTTTGTCAATGTCAAGGTTTTATTTGCATTAATGCTGTGCTGTGGGCTCCCTCTGGTGGCTAGCTGAACACCTACATACAGGTCTGTCAGGCCAGTGGTTTTCAACATGTGGTCCACGGACCCCTGGAGATCTGCAGACTGTGTAAGGGGTCCGTGAAAGATGATTATGATCAATCAAAAGTATGTGAATACCCACGCTTACAGTTCAAAGGGTCCGTACATCCATTCAAATCTTTTAGGGGTTTGCAAAGAAAAAAAGTTGAAAACCACTGTATTAGGCTTTGGTCTATTGAAGAAGCAGTAGTTAGAGCAACGTAAGTGGAAGTGGCTGTGTTGCTTTGGACAAGTCACTTTGCCACCGTGCCTTATGTTATTCACCTCTAGAATAAGTGGAACAACATCTACCTAACTGGAGTGCTGAGAGGCTTAATTATGCCTGCCAGGCACTTTGAGAATGGAAAGTGTTGTTAATGATTAATGCTTTTCCACAGAGAAGAAAATGAAGCCTGACGAAAAACACACAGCATGCTTTATATGACTGAGCAGCCTATTGGTCCAGGACAGGGCAGGCATTTGGATATTGATAGACAAAGATGCTGAAAGTGGCTGCTGATGGAAGTTGGGTGTTGAACAGGCTACCCAGAAAAATGCAGTAATGCCAGATTTATACTGGTGTAACTGAAAGCCTGAGCCTTAATGTTGACCAGGACGAACCACTTCTAAGAGTTGGTTTTCCATGATTCATTTAGTCCTTGACCTCTCTCTACTGAGGCAGCCAATAAAAGGTTTCATCCATTGTAAATAGTGATATGGTAATTTCCCCCATGAAGACCACTGGCCATGTACCTGCCATCAGAGAAGGATCAAATATTGAAGAGAAACTTGAAATATTGAATGGAGCAAACATCTTTAGTCATCACAGGAACTACCAACCCCTACCATATATGTAAATGAACTGTTTTTTAACAGCAGTAGCCAGCCAGTTATTCATCTCCTTTTAACCTGAGGGACAGATGCAAGGAGAAATCAGACTTTCTTTGGGACTTTATCTGCAGAATCACCACTACACCAGGGAAGAAAGATGAAGATGAATGTAGTTTATCTGGGGTCAGACTTGCATGATGTTTAAACAACCTTGATGGATGGTATAAGGAACAATATTTTGTTTGAACTAGAATCTCAACATTGACTGACTCATGGATTTTACATGCTTGATTCATGTCAATATTTTTTTCCACCTACTAAAACACAAATAGCTTAGCTCAGTGAGTCTGCTCTTGTGTTTGTTTATGCTGTAAATACACTGCTCTGTGCCACTGTCATTTCTCATAAGGTTGCTTTTAGTTCTTTAAGAGACTTGTACATGGGTTTTAATCAAATACGCTTCCTTCAAGTCACCTTCACCCTTGCTGCAATTGCAAAGCTTGTTGAAGTACACGATTTTCCTGTTGCTGGATGACTTTTCAAAAGGGCTTGCATTTTTAGAGCTAGAGACATTTTTTCCCTGTGTTTGCAGTAATATCAAGGTAAAATTTACAAAAGTGTGTGTGTGTACATACACACACAATTCTTGCTAAAATTGTATGCCTCTGTTGCTGTTGTTAAATGACCTGTATATTTTTTTGTGTTGATTTCTTTAGGTGCCTGTTTGAACTGCCAAGGAAATACGGAAGGAAGTCAGTGTGAAAAATGTAAGGTTGGCTTCTACAGAAGCACCCTCCCAGCCCATGAATGCCACCACTGCCCATGTTCAACTGTCGCATCTACTGGTAGCTGCCGAATAAGTAAGCCTATTTGTGCTAAGCTGGTTAGAACAACTTCTTCCTGTGTTTTTCATAACTAAACTTTTCTCAGAGTTGATCATCTTGGTATCTTAGTCTAGAAGCCTTACCTTAAGTCTTTTTCAGGGGAACTGAAGTGTATTACTGGAAGTGACACATGCCAGGAAGAGCCCAATATTTATTTAGAATATTTTATTAGTGTTTAGGAGGGCAACAGCACAGAGACCACTGGAAGGCTGCTCACTGCAGGAACTAGCTGTTTTGTGATGTGAACTTCACTGCAAAGCTCCGGTAGCTTTCACTGATCTTTTAAAATGTATTTAAAGTTTTTCAGACAAGATATTGATGCTGCAGGTAATTAGCCTGTGATACTGCCAAGGGATGAATTGTGCAGAAAATGTGCAACGGGCATATGCAAGTCTTAATTCCTTCTTGTATAGTAGATAAGTGGTGCAGAGGCCATATGCTGTCACTTTCAATAGGGGCTGAATTTCTCCCGAGTCATAGACAATACAGCCTGCCACAGACATACTCTATTCTTTGGTGGGCTGTAGAGTTTGTGAAGATATCTATGCCTTAAAATTTCTGCAGTGGTGCTTTGACTGTTTAGCACTAGATGACCAGAAATGTAGCAAAGAATAAGTATGGGTGGTGGGATGAAATTAAGAAAGGATAAAATTAAGATGACAAATGTCCTGACATTGAGATATCTGGCTATGTAAGGAGACTCCTAAAGGTAGTGATGGCAGGTTGGTTTCTTTGGGGCTTTTAAAATTAATCTGACAAAAATGCTAGAAAACATAACATAGGGATCTGACTTGCAGTAAGCAAAGAGATGAACTATGGCCATTTTTCTCAGCTTTTTCAGGTTGGCAACCCATTACTTGAAGTTAAAAATTGTACGAGTAAACAAATGGAGGAGTAATAAAGCTATGTAATTTATTTGTGTGTGTGTTTTGAGAGAAACAGAATATAGAGAAACTGAAAATATTCGACCTTGAAGGGTAATGCTATTCTGGGAATGGGGAACAAGATTTCCATTGCTTTAGATGATAATAAAATGGTCAGTGTCTCCTTGATTGCCTGTTGTCATCCTTTGTTAGGTTTAGATAATCTAAAAAGTTCTCATGCATCTCTAACTTTCATGGTGTAATCGCAGTGTGCCATTTGTTTGTTGCAGTTGGTCACTCAAGACAAAAGCATCCTGTAGTAATGATCTTGATGTGGTCGGAAATAACAGTTACATAGATATAGCCATGTTAGTCTGGAGCAGTGTTCCCTCTAAGTTGTGTGGTGTGCGTGGCCATGCAGGTGTGCTCATGCTGCGTTGCCAGGTGCATGCCTAACAGCTCAGAGGGAACGCTGGTCTGAAGTCAGGCAGAAAGCAGAGTAGAGATGCACCTTATAGACTAACGGAATCAGGGATGCATGAGCATCTGATGCAGTGAGCTGTTGTTCATGAAAGTGTATACATCTTTGATTCAGTTAGTCTGTAGGGTGCATCTCTACCCTACCTTCAGTTATACAGAAGTTACGTTATACTGGTATAAAATGTTCCAGTGTAATTGTTATGTGTTTTTGGGCCAGTGTAAGTGGAGCTAAGCTGTTTCAAGTTTAAAGTTACAATGGTTTATCTCATATATACTATATATACTGTTATAGGAATAAATGTAACCTAACAGTTAAACAGCTGATGTTTGCTTCAGAACTAAATGGCAGGTCCTCCCTCTTCTTTTAAAGCAGTTTAAAATTATGTCCATGTAGAGCCTCAGTTTGCCAGCAGTTTTTAATAGCAGTCGAAATATGTAGGATATGCAGGACTGAAAATAATAGCTTTCTTATTTAAGTTATTTGTATTTTCTCTTCTCTTTTTAGAACCTGGCCAGCATGTCCCAACATGTGACAAATGCAAAACTGGATACACTGGCCCAAACTGTAACCAGTGTGACAATGGCTATTACAATTCTGACAGTATCTGCATAAGATGCAAATGTAATGGGAATGTAGACCCAATTCAGTCACCCAGGATATGCATGCCAGAGACAGGGGAATGCATTGGCTGTCTATACCACACTGCTGGGTTTCATTGTGAGGAATGTCAGGAAGGTTATATCAAAGACCCTGAGGGAACCAACTGCACCAAGAAAGGTAAAATGTTCTCCTTATATCGGTGTCCATGTATATTGTGTGGATCATATGCTTACAAGCTCTCAGAGGGAGGGGAGGGGTATTTCTTGTATTTGTTTAAGGAGGGGTGTACAGTTGATGGAGGAAGCAGTAATTAAGTAATCCATGATAGACATGGGCACTCTTTCAAGATAGCAGCCAGAAGAGATTCTCAGGTGACCATTTCTGATGCTCTGTAAGTCTTATTTTCAATTAGAGAAAGCATGTTTGACCATTGTCCACATTGAAATGAGCAGCGGTGATATTTCTGACATGCTGCCTTTGGCATTCTGGAAGTGGCTCTTACAGACAATTCCCTGTCCATCTCAAGACAGTGTGTGGGGAAGAGATCTTTTAAGTGTCTTAGCACAGAAAAATATTTGTGAAAATTCCTTTCCTGAAGTCAGCTTTCCTCTTTGTGCGAGTGTGAGGGTGTATGTGTGGGTGTTTTATAAAGGTAAAAAAAGCAACAGATTTATCTGGCTGGGGTTTGAAGGTCAGATTATCTAAATCTAGTGATTCTTTCTGGCCTAAAAATCTATGAATTGGAGATTAATTTGGGTTTTTCAGCAATTTTCTGCTCCTTGAATTGTGGCAGGAGATATTGTGAAATGCGCTGAAACCAAAAGATTCTTTCCAGTGTACACAACTGAGCAAGTACATGGGTTTATGTAGCTGAGTGGAAACTCCATCACCCACTCCATACACACAAGCTGCTTTTCTCTGACTGTTCTCATTCAATAGCACTGCTTACATATGTACGGATTTGCAGGATCAGTCCCTTAGGCTTTTTACAATAACATTAACATTAATTTTTTTTTTTTTTTTTTTACAATAACATTTAGCACCTCAAAGTAGTAAATGAGATATTAACCAACTACTTAAACAAATTCGGGGGGATTATCATCTTTATTTTGTGGATGCTAAAACCGAGGCACAAATCAATTAGCAATTTAGCCAGAGGGGCAGAGAAAATCATTGTCACATGGGGTTTGGAATTGACCATTACATAATATCAAGGCTTTTTAGGAATTGTCTAGGTCATATACCCTCTCTGTGTATTGTGTCTATGATTCTCAGGTACAAGTTGGTTGTGGTGCTTGAAGATGCCACTTTGTAAGAGTGCAGCCATGTGGTAGAAATGGCTTCTTCCACAGTGCTGCAGGAGTTGTTAGTACATTACTAAAAATTTTAATGTCTATTTGCTTTAATTTAATATATCTCAGTCTCCACAGGGATGTTAATAGCAATTTTACTTTAGTTCCCCCCACTACAACTCACTGGGTTCATCTACATATGCAGTTAATATGCTGCAATAAATTCTGGAGCTGTCTGAGCCAGAGTAAGCTGCTCCTAGATGCAGCATCTACACATGCACCTGGAACAGCAGCAATTTGTGTCAGGGAGGAGCAGGCTCAGGCTAGCAGGGGGCATGAGGGGTCAGCCCCAGGCTCTGGATGGTGGTGTCAGATGGCGGAGGGGCTGGCAGGAGGCAGGAGTCTAGCCCTCTGCTGACTGGGTGCAATGTGCAGCCATGGTCATGGTCTACATGTGCATTTGATTGTAGGTAAGTACTCCACCGTAAGGTAGCAGTGTCCCCGACACTACTATCTTACAGTCGAGTTAATTAGTTTACTGCATCCTAATTCTGGTGCACATTTAGATGGTGATGCTTTGTGGCAGAGCTAATTAATCTACTCGGCAGTAAAGTACACGTGCAAATGCACCCAATGGTTTTGTATACAAGTGACTGGCATGACCTTGCTCCCCAGCATCTCATGTACTTGCACTTTCTTAAACATTTCCAATTGCACTTATCCTGCTACTTGAATGAGCTTTGCAATTATGCTGATTTCCAGCATAGGAAAGCTTCCCCTTCTGCTTCATAGGGATGAGGCCAAGTGATTATTCTGCTGTCCTGTTTCATTGAGACCTGTGCTCCCTTTCATGTTAATAATTAAGAAAACATGCACATTCTTTTTCTTTCTTTCTTTCTTTCTTTCTTTCCTTCATGCCCCCCCCCCTTAAAGCAGTGCATAGGAGGTACTGTGTTTTATCTGATTGATTTGGAGCCAAGGTTTTCAAAAGTAAACTTTAATTTGGATTCCTCAGTTGTTGTCTAACTTGAAGCAATTTAAAGGGCTCTAGTTTTCAGAGGGCAGGCCTGTACTCAGTGGTGTATGACGGCCAGGATCCTTTAAGGAATCTCCAGTTGGCTAGTTTTGAAAAACTAATTTTTTATTACTGTTTATATACCATAACTTGGACACGGGCAGATTACTGTAGGATTCCTCAAGCACTAGGATACAACCTGGTATTTTGTGGGCCCTCAAAAACTCATGGGCTGAAGCACCAAGACAAGTGATGTAAGAGCAGTAGCTGACACCAAAGACTTGTCTGAGCAATGCTGGCCTCCATCAGATAGCAAATGGGCACAGGGCTCTAAGCAACTTGGCACAAAGACTGACATCTGAGTAAAGTTCTAGTGGAGCTGGCCCTGATTACTACAGTGAAGTACTACTGTTTCCATTAGCTTAGAGTTCAAGGCTCCAGTCCAGCATAATTAATTTTGCTAGGAATTTTGCCAGTGGCCTCAGTGGGAGCAAGATTAGTACCTGAGATTTTAACTGCTTCTAAAACCAAGAATGTGCATTATCCAACTGGTGCATGCGATTATGTGTGTTGGCCATAGTTCACAACAATATATTGCCATCAGAATCCCTGGGTTTCTAAGGCAGGTCTCCCATGTAAATCCTAGCCAGGCCCAGCGCTGCTTAGTTTTTGAGACTAGATGAGAACAGGAGCATTTAGTGGGCTTGGCCATCCAAATCCTCTGCCTAGGTGTAAAATATACTGATTAGCATCACTCCACTTATAAATCCATCCATCCTTGGTTTAACATTGATACCATCCCATTGCTGGCAGTTGGGGCTTGCTTGAGAAGTCATGGTAATCATAATTCTGATTGCCTGTAGGGATACAGCTCTATCGGGAATTAGCTTACCAAAACTGATTTCCCTCCTCTGTCCCTATCAGCAGGTGTTTTCTCCAGAAAAGCCAAATCCATACAGTGAGGCACCATCATCAGTAATTGATTCAGCTGTGAGTGGATTTAAAATGAAGGCAGAGCTTTTAAAGCACAGGATGGCAGAATGAGAGTAGGGCAAAATAGAAAGGAGATGTAATGAGGCCTATAAAGCGAGCTGCATTGAATGTGTATTGTCTGAAAGCACACGTTTAACCTGAATGTTCCTACTTCAAGAACATGACAATCTAAAATATCCTGTTATTCCTATCATACTATTCACATATCTGAAAACATTCAGGACCGTATGTTGCTCTGAGGCCAAGAACTTGGGAAGATTGAAAAGGAGATTGGATATTTTAAATGGAGAGCAAGAATAACTAGGGTTATAATAGTTCCTACAGAAGTGTTAGAAGGAGTAGAAAATCTTATGCTCCAAAGCTTAAGTCTCCATAAGTATTAGAAGCTAAGGGGACACTCCCCATGGAGGTCAGATTTCCCCATTATATACCTATGAGAGGGTGTTCTTGTACCTTCCTCCAAAGCCTCTTGTGCTGGCTAGTGTTGAAGATAAGCTGCTGGATGAGGTGGTCTCATCCACTGACAAATCCTGTGTTCCTGTGTTTTGCCTGTTAGCCTATGCCATAAACTGAACCTGAAACATGGTACAAACGATTGTCATACTGCTTAAAGACTATTACATCATTCACATGCTTTCTTATTTCTAAATGTTACTGAGCCACATCATACTCTCTGTTGTGCATGTATATTTAATTGGTTTCAGTGAGGTTTGTTTGTAGATTCATGTGAAGGCAGTTTGGAATTGTGCCTTTTTACATAGAGAAGTGTCACTTTAGAAACATTTAATGATAGAGCATTAAGGCTTTGTTTTTTTATCTTGGTTTTTGTTCCTTTTGCTCAGCTGAGCTGGAAGCAAACCTGAAGTGTGAATGTATATAGTAAAATGGTAGTGCAAAAATGTGCAAATCATTGTCCTTAGATTTAACCCTCCCAGCTTGATTCTACAGCTTTTAACACGGGGCATATCACATTCTGGCTTCACTGAAGTCAGTGGCAAAACTCTTTGACTTCAGTGGAACCACGGTTCCTACTCAGGAATATTTGACATGCTTTGCATTCATCTTGAGTGATTGAGTGTAAGGAGCCAGATTTTTCTAAATCTCTGCACACTCAATCACAAACAGATTTTCAGAACAGCTCAGCCCCTTTTTTTGGCCTGTAAATTAGGTTTGCAAAAGCATTCCACTCCCACTGAAGGGAACTTGGTGTCCAATGGTCATGCAACATGTCATACTGTTTTTAAAACCTGTCCATTCATTTTGATGCATAAAAGGAATGTTCGAAAGTTTACATTTCCGAGCTTGTTGCCTTTGTAATAACTGTTATGAACAGGGCAAGGTATTGATTGCATTGTTGGGTTATGCTGATCTCTGATTATGGCTTATCACGTATTTTTCTACATTTGTATTTTTATTTTGATTTCTAGAAATCTTTCCTGGCCCAGAAGCTACAGAGTTCGTAACTTTTGCTCCAAGCACCAGCAAGGCAACATCGTTTTCAACTACAGTGACGAACAGTACATTACCACCACCGACTGTGCAGACTGTATTTCCTATAAGCTCCTCTGACAATAGTACATCTGCTTTTGCAGATGTCTCGTGGACTCAATTTAACATAATTATTTTGACGGTGATTATCATTGTTGTGGTCCTACTAATGGGCTTTGTGGGTGCTGTCTATATGTATCGTGAATATCAAAACAGAAAACTTAATGCTCCTTTTTGGACCATTGAACTAAAGGAGGACAACATCAGTTTTAGCAGCTACCATGACAGTATACCCAATGCTGATGTTTCGGGGTTATTGGAAGATGATGGAAATGAAGTGGCGCCTAATGGACAGCTGACGCTGACAACTCCCATGCATAACTATAAGGCATAAAGGAAGAGTTTATCCAGCTATTCCAAAATTAGCTTAAAAAAAGGACTCTGCTCATTTAAGGAGTATCAGAATCTGTGCCAAGGTTTCAAGCAAAGGAATTTGCTACCCAGATATTTTTTTATGTTGGGCATGGCGTAGCTTGCTGGTGAACAGGAAAGGTGTGCAGTGCATCAGGTTTTCAGGTAACATAATGAATGCATTCAGTGTGTCATTACCCATGAAGATCCATAGACTTCACTGTTGATAAAGACTTTACATAAAATTATGCCGATCTTAAAATATATTTTTGTATGAAGAGTTGGTAGGGCTATAGCAAGCAGTACCCTGTGATTAATCAAAAGTTACTTTGACTTCCAGCCAAGCTAATGCTTATACCTGTGTCCAATATTTTGAAAAGTAGCCTGTGAATGAACAGTAGATTTTCAGGAAATAGACTTTTCTAAAAGCTTCATATTATTTCCTTACATAAATTTGATTTAAAGAAAGGGGAAATCTCATTCACTTCACCATAGTACTAAGAGACATTTATATAAGTAACTGTTACACACAGTAAAACCACCCCTTTAAGTTTCCCATTGATTTTGGGGAGCAGAAAAAATATCAAATATAAAAATATCTGTTGGGGGAGATAACTCATTTCCCTTATGTAAGGTGACAAGACTATTAAAATACAGGAATCCATTTTTATAGAAGGAGTTAATGAACTTGTATACATATTGTACAAGGGAAGACAACCAGACATCTCAGGGTTGCCCTGTAAAAATACAAGCTAGGCTTACTATCTTACCCTGACAGAAATGGTGTGTTCTGTATATAGAATGTAATATAACTTCTTGGCATTGTATTTGTAACTATTTGTAAAAAAAAAAAAGAAAAAAAAAGAAAAACCATAAGTCATATTTTATCATCTAGATTTTATCTGTACAGCAGTTAGTGGTATTGTAAAAAAAAAAAATGAGGATTGTTTAAAATACTGTAAATTAGATGGCAATATTGCTGGAGCTGGGACTCTGGCAAACATCCATCATTTAAAGTTCCTCTTCTGATATCACTGAAATTTTTTTAAGAAGCTGAGTGTTTCCTACTTGTTTCTGCAACTGTCAACCTCCCTGTTCCTTTATCCATGTTGACCCTAGTAAATACCCGGTGATGTCGTGAACATCTGAAGGGCCAGTGATCAGGGTTGCTTTGAAATCTCCCCACAAAATGCAAATGTATCAACAATGTTAGTTAGAGACTGATCCTATCAATCAGATTTAACAAGAGCGGTCAGCATTCACAAGAGTAGTCTGATTGAAGTCGTGAGCCTACTTGGGCAAGTAAGGACTGCTTACGTGATTATGAGTAAAATTGCTGATAGTGCTGCATATTGGCCTATCTCTGCTTCTCTTGATGACAATAGCAAAATTTCCCTCGTCTTCAGTGGAACCAGGATTTCATGCAAAGTATCTACAGGATCAGGTCCCTGGTTTCAAAATTCTAGATAAGATAATAAGTGGACACTGTCAAGTAATTGATTTCTGAAAGTTCACGTAGCATAAAGTTGTACGCTGGACAAGTGGGGACTCTACTCATTGTTAAGAAACAAGGGACAACTGGGTATGCAGAATCCTACCATTTTTATATAGAGGCAGACTGGCTTTTAACAAGGGGGAGTACAAGTTAATGAGCACTCTGTCCTTGTCAAATGGAAAGAGCTGTATGGCAAGGTTGTGTTGTTGTTCCTCCACTCTGAGGTATAGGTCTGAATGCAGGGTGCAACGTGGTTGATTGAATGTACACCGACATAGCACCCAGGAAGACTGCTGACTGTAGCAGTCTGAGTGCAGGTTGAAACATCCAAGAGCACGTGCAGTCCTTGTACAGCTCCGTTTCCTAACACCTGGGAAAAGGCACTGCTATACCAGGTGCAAAGAACTAGACCTTCACTGGGGCATTTCGTTTGCACCTGTACAGTGCAATAAACAGTGCCGTGGAGAACTTCAGCTCTGCCCTTCCCTTTTTTCAGTGCTGCCATTTGGCATGTAATCTTTATTAGGTGCCAGATCCAGTCTCTTTGCTTTATTCCTTTCACTGCACTGAGTGCGTCGTCTTTGCACCCAATCCAGTTCCCGTTAAAGCCAGTGGAAAGCCTCCTGAAATCCTCCTGCTGACTTCAATGAGATTTGAATCAAACCTTTTGTTTGATCTCTTCTGAGCAGGGCAATTAATTCCTGTCCTATGTGTTAATTAAGTGAACTTCTAGCAACCTCAGGGGTAAAGTCTGTAATGCAGCCATGCCAGGGCTTTGCCGGTTCATAATAACTCCAGTGATAAACAAGGAAGTTAGCAAAGCAGAGCAATAGCTGCATCAATAAAAACAAAGGCAGAAATAAATATTTCTTATGTGACAGGAGGGAAAAGTAATGTAGAAAGATATTATTTATTTGCATTCCAGAAGTACTGGGAGGCCTAACTCTGGCTTGGGAATGGCATCCTGCTAGGTGCTGTACATAGTTATAATAATAATGTGCAGTCCCTGTATCAAAGAGCTTATCTTCTAATTTAAGAAGATGTGATGGACTGTGTATGGGCCTCATCCAGAGGCAATGAAGCCAATGAAAAGAGGTGCATTGCCTGCGTTGAACTTGAGGTCAGTTCCCAAGTCTGCAGCTGACTGGATACAAGTCATTCAAAAAGATTTGAGTTTTAGTCGGAAAATAGAAAAAGAAAGAAAATCTGGATATTACCAAGCCTTTATCATACACCAGGCTTTAAAGGACAGTTTTATTAAAGTAGAGAAAATAGGATAATCTGGACATAATTACTTGACAATGCTCATTTTTATATGCGTATTCCCTGATGTTTATACATGCTGGGAAAAGATGACTTTTCATAAGTGATTTCAGTGGCAGTGTGTTAGCATCTGGGCCTAGTTCTATAGAGCAATAAAAGCAACAGGCAAAGTGAAGGAAAGATTGTCCACTTGAGCATGTCAGAATTATTTTCTTCTTTTATTTGTGGGGTTGAGGTGAATTAGCAGATGTATTCTTTGAAAGAAAACATTTCTTCATGGATCCTTGGAAAGTCTGCAGGCTATCTAAGATAACAGGGTTTGGCCAGTTTAATTTGGACTTCAGGTCCTGGCTTTTTTGATTCTCTTACATTACAGAGTCTGTGACCAGTTGCAGGATTTGGTTTTGAGTTTTGGTGCTGAGCTCCCTTACCTCACACCTGCAAAAAAAAAAAAAAAATAGAGGGGGGGGACTGGACAACCTATTTGAATGGGTGGTTTTGATATTGGCCCCATTGTAGCTGAAAAAATAAACATGAAAAATAATATTAAAGCACTGAATATTAGCCCAGCTCTGAAGTGGTGAAGATGTCAGTCTGTTTTACACGTTGTCATACAACAATATGATGTTGTGGGTATTTTGCTGACAGCAAATGGTTCTGGAGAGAGAGGTCTAGGGGACCATCCTGTGGGTCTGACATGAAGCCCACAGAAATTAATTTGTCTTTTCTTTGGGCTTTAGTTGCATAAGTTTTTCAAACTTGACTGACCTGTTTTGGAGAAACTCTGAGGTATGGTATGCTTTGTTTGGACACTAACTTCTGATTAGCAGAGAATGAAAACATCAGAGGGACACAAGGGATGATGCATCTAACATGACAAAACGATTCAGCAGAAGAAACAAAATCAGTTGCACCCAGTCAGGTCCCTTGTTTAGAGGAATAAGATTCAACAGAAACTTTCCAGCTTTGTGTTCAACCTCATCCTATGATCCACGAGTGTGAAACCTGACCCCTTTCCTCCAACACGCACATAGCCATCCACCTGAGCACCTGTATAATAGAAGGAAGAAGCTAAGTGAGATCCATCTCTCAGCCAGGTTGGACTGCACCGTGTTGTAGTGCATTGCCAGAGAATTCTTATGGGCAAGTATGTCATCCTACCAAAGACCTTGGCTTTTCCAGCAGTAGTTCAGTTGCTTGTATTATAACTTGCCATGAAACTTCTGTAATGTTGAGGTTTCCCCTCTGGCAGATTTGAGAATGAGAATAACCAGTTAAATAGGATGTAGACTGCAGAGGTTCATCAGGCCCAATGCAGAAAATCATCAGGTCAGAGAAGGGGTGTCAAGCTGAGGTGTCAGGACTGTTGCACATATATTGGTGGGGTCCATCATGCGCCACTTCCCAGCAGACAAGTAGTATATCAGTCTTGCAGGACAATGGTTGTTGGTTTTGGGCAAGGAAGTGGGTGGCATGGTGCAGTAGCTATGTGTTCATGGAGTAGATGGAGTAATAGGGGGACATGGTAGTCCAGAGAAGTATGATGGTGAGACACTTATGGCTTTCGCTCCTACTGGCCATAATCCCAAACCCATGCCGTGGGGAGGTGAGAACCATGTTGGCACATAGCCTAGCTGGTCTGGGTGAAGCAAATGAAATCCTGTAGTAAAACACTTGAAGCCCTCATGTAAGGGGATGGATAAAAAAATAGTCAACCATGTATAAAATGAACAGGGGCAGCCTGGCTGGGTCAAAAGCTAGGGATGTTACACTACAAGCACAGGATGCACCAAATGTGGAAAAGTATAATTAGCTAATGTGAATATAAGGTCTTAACTCTTACCAAATCACCATAGCTAGAAAAAAACTGCATGATGTTTTAGCCTTGGGGACTGTCATGAAAAGTCACTTATTGAGACAGTCATTCTCTTGGACCAGGCAAAACACACTCAGGCCAGCAGAAACTATTTATGAGCCCGGATGGCATGTTTTCAGCATTCTACCGCATTTTGGGCCAGTTGATCCCTTGCTGTACAGCATTTTTATTCCAAATATTACATGCAATATAAATGATGCAATATGTGGCAGAAAATATGTACAGCTTCTTTTAACAACAAAAACCGAAGAATGAAGCCTAAAATATTTAAAAAAATAAAATTGTAAAATTAGCTCTCGAGGGACTCTGATATTTAGGTGTCAGATGGAATTTTAATAAGGAAAATGTGGGCCTAAAACATTTAACATCATGCTTGCTCCCAAGTAAAACTCATCAGCCTTATTGCACATCCCAAAAAGGTGTTTCTTATGCATAGGCTAAGCTTACAAATGCATTTCTAAAAAAAAGTGTATGATTTGAATATATGTCAGAATTTATACAGAAGAATGTTATTTAAAAATGAATAAATGTATATAATTTGTACCTATGCTGCTAGTGTTTTTGCTTTGGTTTTTGTCCATTTAAGTCAAATGGGACTCTTTCCATTTACTTCACTCAGAGCTGGGTTGGCCAGAGGAGGGAGGACGTATTCCACTTATGTTAATAGAGTTATTCCTGCTCTACACCAGTGTACGAGGTGAAATCATTGTGGCCCTAAAACTGTTTGGTAATGTCATTTGCTAACACACCTGCTATTTTATGCCAGATAACCACCTGAAAAATCAAGGCATGAGAAATCTTTTGAACACTTAGTATTAACTAGCTTGGGCTTCTAGCTAATTTTGTTCACATATGCTTGCTTTTCAATTCGGTGGCTGTCTCTACCTGAGATGCTACTGCGCAGTAGCAGGGGGGCACTAATTGTGATGCGTGATGCTACCGCGCAGTAGCGTCAGAAAGCTGTGCAGGGATGCTACTACACAGTAACTCCAGTTACTGCACAGTTGTTTAGTACTTGGTTATGCAAGTACTAAATGACTGTACAGTAACAACTGTGCAGTCTGCTGCTTGTATAGACATGGCCAGTGTCAATAAATTTGTTCTACTAGAGTGATATAATATGTATACAGGTTTATTTTGGCTTGGAAAGTACCAAGTCTTATTAAAAAAATGAAAACAACAAGAAAAAGACTAGAAATTAGCAAAGAGCAATTTTACACATGTTTTTCCACATCCTCATTATGATCAACAAAGGAAATTTGAGGGGATCAAGTTCTCTGTAATCTACATTTGAAGCTTTGTTCATTTTAGAGTAGGTGTTTATATGTGCAAAAGAAATCTTCAACTCTTTGCCTCCAGAACCCTAACCTTTCTTTCTTGTCAGTGTTAGGAAATCAAGCCTTTTTTTTCCATACAAAAGTAAATAAATGATAACACTTGTCTTTGTCATTGAATGTTACCTTCAGCTCCTACTGTCCAGTTCTATAAAGCCTTTATGCAAAGGGGTGGGATGATAGGAATTAAGCAGGTTCTTAAAATCGGACACGAGTTTAAGTGTCTTACTGAACTGGGGCTTATGTAATGAAGAGCCTGAGTCTCTATATCTCAGTTTTCATCCTAGTCTTCCATGTAGGAGTAGGACAGATAATAGAGTTTTTCAATACAAATTGCTGGTACAAGGATTTAGTATAATCTCCTAACATGTACTGCTAATTAAGATAAGGCTAAACAATGCTAATCTGATTAGCAGAGGGCAAGTTGTTAACTACTTCAAAATGATAATTTTCCCCCCCTTTACAACTCCATGGTGTTACTGCAGATTTTGTAATGCAGACATCCCAGTTACCATCATAGCTCTTATTGATCCATTTGATGGAATGCATCTTTTTGTTTGATCCAAAGGGGTTATCTCATTGTAAAACGCACATCCACCTCCATTTAGGGCAGTGCCTTTCTTAACAGTGGGCCTGTTGATTTCAGTTCAATAGCAGGGGACACAGCATGTGTTGAGAGATGTTGTAGGGCATATGCTATACTGGCTTATATCATTTAGGTAGTAAATGCTCTGCCTAGTGGCTCTGTGGCTGACTGTCGCTACTTTAATGCCACACGTCAAATATTGTACACAGTAGTTCCTTATTGTTTATGAACAATTGGGTCATGTTGGGCATCAAGACGAATGTTACTCTCTGTGACCGATCACCTTAAAGAAGAAGAAAAACAATTTCAAACTAGACTGGGTTGATTAGTCTGGCTACCATTTAGCAGATGCAGTTTTAAAACTACCAATCAGTCCAGAAAGACTGAGACGATCAGGTCCCGTCAATACCACGAACTCTCACTAAGACTCAGACTCCAGTCGCACAGCCTTAGAAATTTCCACCTGTTCCCAGCTAAGAGATTAAGTGTTTTTACTAGTCATTACCAGGCATTTTCCATTTGGTCCGTGTTACTGTAACCCCGGCTCCATTTTGAATTTTGTACACATACCGCAGAAGGAAAGGTAAGATCAAGGTAGGAAGGAGAAGCCTATAGCAGAGTTACTGGCACTCACTGGTTGGGAAACATAGGGCATCACCTGAACTTACAGACTAGTATTTGGGTGTTTAGGTGTTTCAGAAAGAGAAATTAATTCCGTTTACAGAAAATGGAGTAACAGGATGAAACGGGAATCCAGAGTGATAAGGTAATAACAATAGGCAGGCTCACATACTGGTGCTGATTCCAAGCCAGTGCACTGAGGAGGTAAGCATCTTCTTGACACAGTCCAGATGGTTATGGTGAATAAGTGTAATCCAGCACTACAAACATAGGGGAGAAAATAGTCTAATAAACAGACATGGGCTGATCCTGTAGACTGGCCCTAGGCAGCCTTCTCTCAGAAAATAGGGTACATTTGTATCTTATAGACAAACTAGAGATACATAAGCTTTAATAAGCAGTAGCTTGCTTCATCAGATACTGAAATCATCTCTGTCCTTATGCTATAGGTAATGCTGCATATTACTAAACTGAAAGTATTCATTTTTTCATTGTTGACACCTGGGGGGACTCCTGCCTTGCTCCTTCGTTTAGTTGGGATGATAGAAGTAGAGTCATCAGCTTTCGCTATATGATCAGTCAAGCTAGTGGTGCAATATTTAGATTGCAAACACTGCAGGAGAATGTTTAAATCCTACCAAAAAGATTCAATTAATTCATTAAAACTATAAAAGCATGTTAGTCAAGTTTTGAAAAGCTTATAGAAGAATAACACAATCCAGCTTTGGGATCCAAAGTACCTGTTCTGCACGGTATCAGCTGAAGTAGTCAAGGGAGGTGTTGACAAATGAAAGCAACTGGCATACAGTAACACAGTCCTGCCTGTATCGTAATAGAAGACAGGAATCCTTGGACACATTAGGTCTCCAATAGAGATAACAAATATGGCTTACTGCTATATAAACATTATTAATAAAGGTAGGACCAAGATGAGAGAAGGGATTGTCCAGCAGGTAGGATGCCAGTCTGGGCTTTAAATAACTAACTGCATTCTCCTAAGGTCTGCCCCTGACTCTTTGAGGGACCCTGGACAAATACACT